AGTGCCTTGATTCTTCTACCCTATTTAACAATAAAAATAACTCAAACAGGAGAGGGGAAAAAAGCCATACTGCAGACTCATCGCACACACTTTTAAAGTATTTTACTGTCCATATGTCAGCTCAAATGCATTACACCAGAATAGGCAGCAACTATAAGACTAAAGCTAACATTCCTCAAAAAAAAGCTTCAAAGGAATAGGTTCCAACGAATTTTACTAACTCCTCATTGTGTTTGTTCTTCGATGGACTTTTACGGGGGCACTAAGAACAGTTTCCGGGAACCAAAAAACAAGGAACTGAGCTCTACTGAAATAACTGGCCAACGCACGGGCTGCCTGTGCGAAGATGCGTTTTTGCATAGTTCCCTATAGATTTTTATCGCTAACGGCACTGTTTTTCCGGTTTTCAGCTAAAAGAATTTCTGGCTGGCCGCCAGGACTGTCAGGAAACATTCCTTCAAAATTCTAGCCTTCCAGTTTCTCAGGTTCCCGAGTTAGCAACTTACACTAAAAAATATTTCACGGACCCATACGTGGGAATGACTCATACCCGGGGGCTAGGTTTGAGCTCATTAATACCTATGTGAATGGGGACATTTCCTCAAAATTCTAGTCTTCCAGCTTCACACATTCCCGAGCTAAACACTTGTCCGAAGAAAACTTTGGCAGGCCCGTACGTGGGTACCGCGCATAACCGGAGTCTGGATTTGAGCTCAATGAGACTTAGACAGGGAATATCCCCTTAAAGTTGCAGTCTTCTAACTTTACAAATTCTCGAGTTAGGGACTTACTCGAGAAAAATTTCGGTGGGCCGTGCGTGGGTACCACGCGGGTAAGAGCGCCTATTTGGAGACTGGGCCCGTATGTCCATGTAGATTAATGGCCCAAAGTTTCAGCCCTATAGCTTTTGTAGGTCATGAGATGAGAAACCGTGACAGACGCACACACAGACCCACACACACACAACCCGACGTCAATATGCGTTTCCTGCATTGCACAGTTGCAAAAAACACATAATAAAAATGGCTTCAGTGAGACGAACGGTGAAGCCCGTGTGTGCAACACCTCTTACGAAGCCCTGCATTGCAGAATTTGCAAAAAAAAAAATTCATGATATAACCAACAATTAACAACTGGAGATGTGGGAGCAGTTAAGCATAGAGTCTGGTACAAACTACTCGCCGAGTACAAGAATCACAGAAAAATTGAATCGCTATGCCGAATGACCTGATGCACTAGTAATTGCACCGCTATAAAAATCTCTGTGATTGCTGAATGTGAGGGCAAATGAAATATACCTGGTATGGCTGGTTGCTGGATGACGATGAACTGCTGTGCCGAGCCAGGCGCTGTAACCGGAATGAGTTGCACTTGCGTGGGCTGCTGGCCAAGATGATTTTGCGTAGCAATTGGAATAAATTGCAACTGAAATGCAAGCAGATGAGTAATCCGACGAAAAAATTCTGTCCTTCCATCACCACTGCTCCTGACTATTCAAGCAGGCAACAGTTCGAAGAAGACAAATTCCATGAGGAATCAACAACTCTCTCGGTAAAAGATTATTCGAAGTGCTTGCACACCTCCCAACATATCATCCTACTGCACTTTGAGACTCTGATCAGCCGCAATTCATAGCCTGCTTCTTCAATTATGCAACCGGAAATTTCATCAGTTACTTCGTCCAGTGCTTGCTGGTCAGGGTGCTAATGGTGGACGCGAAGTTCGTCAAGTTTCCTGAAATATTAAGAAAAGCCAAATGGTAAGACTTCTTACTTCTGCCTCATCATCTTACACAACAGAAAACTGCTGTAACTGAAAAAAAAAACATTAAGATAAATAGCAACGCACACCAGACTAGCCGGTGCGACCATGCGTTTTGTGCAATTCAGCTCATCGAACGATTGCCTGTTAAT